ATAAATACTGAGATCTTCTCTGACTCAGCAGTTTGGAAGAGCTTAGATTTTTCGGAAAGAAAAGAGCTATATATAGAATTGGACAAATGTCAGATTTACCCAATAAAATATATGAAGTCTACCTTAAAATGAATCAGAAGAGACTGTCTCAAGCAAATTATGTTTCTGATGAGTCAATTTGGTGTAATGGAAAAGCTTACAGGACTGGAAGGCAGAGGATTTGGGCCTCAGTCTGTTCTGCCCTGACTAGGTCACATGCATGACCTTGACTGAATCCTTTGCTCATTCGTATTTCTTGTCAGTAAAATGAATCTGTTGGATTTGATGTTTTCTAAAGGGTTTTTGAAATAATAATTTTGTTCTTTGTATTACTTCTTTTATTGGACTCTCTTAACAGTTATTAAAAAATAAAAAGCTCAAACCCTCAAGGGGATTCTTCTCTTAAGGGTTCATTTTGCAAAGCAAAAGAAACCTTTTCTTTTTTCCTTCTGGCAAATGGAAATTGCTTTTTTGTTTTTTTTCATGATTGTAGAAATGATACATGGTCAATGCAGAAAATGTAAATAAAAGTACAAAAGAGTAAAAAGCCTCTGTAATACCACTGAGATAACTATGCCTGCTATCATCATCATTGTACTTAAAAAAACAATTATTGAATGAATGATTATTGTTAGTATCTTACAAACATCATTTCTGGTCTTCAGACCAGGAAAAAAAAAAAAAGATCCTTTCTCCAGAGGTTGTTTTGCCTCTAAGTCAGAAGAGCTTGGTAATAGTAGTTACCAGAGACTGAAACTGCCAGGATGATATTGTATCTCTTAGATCACACATTTCACAATGACACTTGATCTCTGATACCTATGAAATATAGGGAACAGCAACATTAAACACACCATTCTTATGGTCACAAATCATACCAAGGGTGGCTCAGTATGAGCAATATCAAGAAAGCCTGAACAATAGTCCGTCATGCTCTGCTGAAGGAGTGGCTCCTTGCAGTATCAGGAGTGTAAGTTCTGCCTTCCAAATCCTTCCTCCCATACTTGAGCCCTCCTCCTCTCCCAGAGCAGCAGGATAAACCTTCCTAGGGCACCTGAATTCCAGTCAACACATCTTATTGGGAACTTGGTGTCCTTTTGGTTGTTAACTCCCTTTTCGGTAAACTAAGATTGCTTTCTGATTGCCAATGAAGATGAATTAGTCGGAACCTGTCTGCAGACCCACCCTACATCGTTCCCCCCAAAGCATTAGTTGCTCATGTTGAAAGCTGAAACGTTCAACGTGTGAATCTGAATCTTCAGAATCTCTTGAAAAATTAGATCTGGCACCACTGGGCTCCTATCCCATAGAGCAATCAGCTGGAGCTGAAGGTTGTGTTCTTCAGCTCCCCAAACCCCCCATAGCCTTATGGTCTCACCTCCTACTCCCCACACTGTTGTGTTTACTCATTTACCTGATTTGCTACCTCTAATTATGTAGACCATTAAGGGGGTACCTACTAAGCACCAGGCACTGCGTAAGTCCCAGGAAAGGGGTGGATACAACACAGCTCCTACCTTGGAGGAGTTCACAATCCAGCAGGGAACAGCTGCATCAACCAGTAAATTGCAGTGCAGCACAGAAAGCATGAACATGGAGGGAGCATAGAGATGGCTGACCTACTCTGTCCTGGGAAGCTGGTCAAAGATTTCCTAAAGGTCATGTTTGAGCTGGGTTTTGAAGGATGGATACGAGCTCATCAGGCAGATGGAGTGGTGGGGAGTATTGGAAAGAGTGGGGGTGGTATTAAAAGAATATATAAGGTCTTCTGCCTGTTAGCTGCCTGCTGCACAGGTGACCCTCTCAAGCTAGCAATTATCTTTCTCCTTATTGATATCAGTCTGTCTATGAGACTCTGCCAAAGTCATGCCATTCCTTCCTTCTGTCAAAACAACAGATACATTTCACCTCTACCAGGAAGAGGATGACTGACTAATCCCCACTCATTTCCAGTTGCTTCAACTAAGGCAACACTCCCATTCTGGGATAATTAGTTATCTGACTGGGATTCTGTTACTGGAGCTCTTTGTTTTATTTTGGAACCTCTGGTATTTGAAGAATAAACCCACACACCAAGCAATTAATCAATAAGCAGTTACCTACATTGAGTAGAGAACTTTCCCTGCCATATATGCCCAAGTGACTATAACCAACTGGTCAACATACAGAGGCGGTCAACATAGGAACTACCATTGCATATAGGTGGCACATGTGTGATCTGTGAAAATTAGGTTAACTTGAGGTGGTCAACTATGGAGGTGATCACTACTCTATATCATTTTTTACCCCAATGACAGCCCAGCTGAGAAAAACAACAAGCATAATTAAGAACAGAGACTACAATTCAGAAAACATTTGTTAAGTGCCTGGTATTCACAGTTTATTTATTTTTTATTTTATTTTTTTGCAGTTTTTGGCTGGGGCTGGGTTTGAACCCGCCACCTCCAGCATATGGGGTTGGTGCCCTACTCCTTTGAGCCACAGGCACCACCCCTCACAGTTTATTTTTATCCCTCCATACTCCCAACATTAATTGGGTACTACTATGTTCCAAGTACTGCCAAGATACAATAATCATACAAGGCAGCAGATGACATAAATAAATAAACCCATTACAATAAGATTCCTGGCCAGGCTCGGTGGCTTATACCTTTAATCCTAGCACTCTGGGAGGCTGAGGCTGGTGGATTGCTTGAATTCAGGAGTTGGAGATCAGCCTGAGCAAGAGCAAGGCCCCTTATCTACTAAAAATAGAAAAACTAGCTGGGCATCACGACTATAGTCCCAGCTACTTGGGAAACTGAGGCAAAAGGATTGCTCAAGCCCATGAGTTTGAGGTTGCTGTGAGCTATGATGCTACAGCACTCTACCCAGGGTGATACAGTAAGACTCTGTCTCAGGCAAAAAAAAAAGTTTCTTGCCAAAGCAATGTTCAAAGTACAGCAACTACTTAGAGAGTGTCCTCTGTTCCCAGGGATACTAAGCCAGCATCACAGAGAAGATAAGCTGCTTATCTTGTTTTTTCCCTTTTGTTATTGTATTTTTCAACATACGCAAAAATAGAGAGACTAGTCCAACAAATCTCCATGAACACATTGCCTGGCTTCAATAATTAATAATTCATGGGCACTTCTGATTCATTTATATACCTACCTGCTTCCCCATCCCTTTGTTTTGAAGCAAATCCTAGACAATTTTTATCACTGCATCAATGAATACTGAATCACATTTGAAGGAACCAAAAATGTGTGGATTATCCATTGATGCACTTCTTATTCTTCTGTCCTGAAGGCAGTTTATTTTATTTATTTATTTATTTATTTACTGTGGAGACAGAGTCTCATTATGTTGCCCTTTGTAGAGTGCCATGGCGTCACAGCTCA